TGTCCTTTTTTGGGTGCATTTCAGGGGGAAACCCCCCCCCCGGGGGGGGGGGTGGAGTGGAGATCGTTTGGCAGCGAATGGTTCTGAAGTCTCTCCGGGAACAGTTTGGAAATCAAAGCAAAGGCAGTGATTTTCCCCCCTCCCTACTTTTTCCCACTTTTTCCTCTTTCTTCCTGCAGAAGATATCAATTTCCCATGGAGGTAGCTGGTCAGCCCCTTGGTGGTTTCCCCCACATCTGGTGTCCCGTCAAATTAGCACAAAGGCAAGTGCAGGCTAAACCTGCTCTCCCTGCACACCAGGTTTGAAAGTCGTTTTTCGCTCGGGTCACACCTCCCGGGAACACGCTCATTTGGAAACGGTTCCCTTTGGGGATAGCATTTATGGTGTTTTTTTTTTTTCAATCCCAAGACCCGAGATCGCTTTTTTCCTCCCTTTAAAGTTTTTATTTTGAAAATGACTTGACTCAACTGAGGGGGAGAAATAATCGCAGCTCTAAAATGCTGCATTTCCCTGTGAGGGAAAGCACATCTTATAAGCAACAGAAGCGAATCATTGATTACCAGCCCATCTGCACTGACCTACTCTAGATCCCTTCCAAAATTATGATGGATAGAAAGAGCGAGAGAGATAAACAGACAGATAAATAGACAGACAGATATATACAGAGAGAGAGATTTCTAGCTCTAGCGCTGGATGATATATTTTGCAAACAAATTTATTTTGGCTAAAAGTCCAAAAGAGGAAATGCTATTAGTTCTACCTTATATTTCCTCGCACTCTCTCTCCATAATCCAGCGTTTAACTCACCATGAGAGATGTCATTTCACATAACATTGTGTTAATGGATAAATCTCCCCCCCCAACCTCTCAAGCGCAACAAATCTGAGGCAAACCCATTCCATGCGATCTGCTAACTCAACCAGCTGCTGCTGCGTGCTTGGGCTCTGCCGCGCTTTCTGATACAAAGGTTGCAAAGGAACCATTATGCCCTTCTTTAGAGTGTGAAAAAAAAATCTCCCCTCGACCCCCACTTCAGTGCCGATGGGGTTTTTAGCCTGTTTGCTTTTTTGTTTCTAAATAACGTAAATCAAAATGTTGGAATATAGCGAGAGCATCACGTAGCAAACTTTTCTGTTTGTCAGAAATACAGGGAGACTTTGTTTTTCAGATATTTGATTTAGGTGTGTGTGTATATATATATGTATATGTGTGCATATATATATATATATATATTTACATAGGCTCATTCCTCTACGGGGGCGCAAAAAAAA